GAGGTACTGCCTGCACTGCCCTCCAAGGATCCTTCTGGGCACTCACCCCCAGTTGGGGGGCCCACAACCACACCCTGCTCATCTCGAGACTCCTCGAGCTGGTGCTTGCACAGGATGAGGGGAGTTGCAGGGCTGGGCCTGGCCACCTCCCCTGCAGCAGTTCTTGCTGTGTGTTGGCCCATGTGGACATCCTGGAAAATTTTGAGACTCTTTTTCGGCCTGCTTTGCCTCTGGAAGCAGAAACTCCAAGGAGATCTGGGTCATGAAGGCAAGTACCAACATTCTGCATTCCCCAGCACCTGTCCACTGCTGTTCCTGCCAGCACATGAGCCATGTTTATAATTTATGGATGCTTTCCAATGACATGCTTTGTGAGATCCTGTTTCAGCTCTATTTCTTTATTCTTTCCCTTCCCACCCCCATTTTATTCCCTCAGGAGAATCCATCAGTTCTCCTTTGTCCCCACCCCCACATGACTCTGAGACCTTGGATACCCAGTCTGTAGGAACCCCATGGAAGATGCTAGAATCTGGTTCATGTGCCAATAGCTGCTTGGGGTGTTGGTCCTGAGGATCTGCATTGTTTTACAAGATCTTCGTATAACTCTGATGCTGATAAAGTGGGATACTTTGCATTTTACAGGTCCACTTGTGAGAGCCAGCCCCTCCGGTTTCCCACAAGCTCCACTGCCCTGCCTGGTCTACATGGGAGACTTAGGAAGGAGACGGAGCTAAATGGCAAGGATTTCTGCAGCTAAGCCTGCCTGGTCTGGCCACATGTGTTTCCCCCACTACCATCACTAGCTGTGAACAGACTCTGCTCTGCCCAGACCAAAGACCAGTCCATTGACTCAAAACAGGCTCTCCCTATCTGACTTCCGGGTAAGAAAGAAACTAAGGAGATGCAACTTACCAATAAATGTCTGCTTGGAGCTTTACTTGCTTAAAAAGAAGGGGAGAGGCCAGAAAAAAACCCCAAAGGTTGTGAAATGAGCCTCCTCCTTTTGGCAGCCTCCTTGGTCCCAGCTACAAACTGAGATCTTTGGAATAAAGATCCCCAGGAATATTATTTGGTCACCTGGTGAGAAATCCCCCACTGCTGGGTGAGGCAGAGGTCTGAGAAGTCCTCCTGGGCTGCCTGGACCTCTGTACCGGACACTCACCACACAGAATTGCAGGCCCACTAAGGATTTCCAGCAATAGGCATGACCCTGGTAACCTTGAGCCTCTGGCCCCTGAGACCTTCTGATAGTCAAAGACCGCCCCCACCACACGTTCTCCTCATCAGGGTCTCAGGATTATTCTGGGCATTCTGTCATTTTTAGCAGCTTTTCAGTAAAAACACATAAGTACATTTTTGGTTTGTGCTTAGCACTCTGAAAATCTGCCACCTCAGAGGTGCAAGTAGCTGTTTAAACTACAACATTAAGACTGGCAGCCTATGAATGGATGTCCCAGGCCTGGAGGCCCTGCCCACGCATCCTGTGCCCTGACGGTCCCTGTGTCACTCTGAGTCTCATCTCTCAGGGACATGGACACATCTTGACTCCCCCAGGGCTTCCTAGGCCCTCGGACGTGATGCCCTGACACTGGTTTCTCTGCCCACCATGGAGTCTGGGCATGAACCCATCCCCACCTGGATCACGTGGGCCTTCGTTATAATTCCAGGGTCCACAGGAAATGTCCTCTCTTTTGCTGCTTTATTGTCAGTCAGCTGTTTTCTTATAGTTCTCTGCTCTCAGTATAGGTCAGGTTATACAACAGAACAAAGAAAGAACAGGCAAGTGTCAAGGATGAGTCACGACCAGAGGGTAAAGCCTGTTACAAAGGGACGACAAAGTTTCCAAGCTGCTTCCCTTGCCCCCTAGGAGATCCTCTGCAGGACTCTATCCAGTGACTGGATCTCCTGAGATGCAGAAAAGGATGGCACCAATGCAGTCTTTCTACACTAGCTGCCACCTCCACTCCCCGCAAGAGGGAACACCACATCCCTCCAACCCCACTTCTCCCAGCCAGGCCAGAGGACTTGGACTATGAGCTCCCCTTCCTTTAGAGCCCACCTCTCCTCTTGTAGGCCCTCCTTTCTGTCTCTCCCTGCACATGGCTGGGAGCAGAGCCCAGGGTCCTGGGTTGGAGGTTTTTTCCCACTGCTCTTCTACAGGCTGTCTCGCCACATCCTGGAGTCCTTCTGGTCCCTCCTCCTGAAAAGAACTCAACTACACCCCTTCACAACCACACTTCCTTTAGAGCCGCCCTTGGCTGAGGCCCTCTCCCAGCCCCGCGGAGCCCACTGAAGTCCCATTTTCTTTTCCGATTTACACTGTGGCCAACTTCAGGGTCCCGAATTCCTCAGCATCTAGATGAGGCTCTCCTCTCTTCTCCTGGGTGGGCAAGCCTCTGACCTGACCTGGTGTGCAGAGTCGGCTGTCCACAGGCCGCTTCATCCACCCCTTCTGGCTGGAGCTCTCCAAGCCATTGGTAGGCGATGCAGACCACGGAGCCTGGGGTGAAGGGCCTCCTGGGGTGGATAAGTGGTCTGTCCCGAGGTCTTTCCACACAGGCCACAGCCCTGCTCTGCAGGCACAGGGCCTGAGCGGGGCCCTTCACGCGCGTGCCCCGCGGTCCTTGGGGCCGCGGCCCGCGCCCCTGCCTCTGCCAGGCCTCCTGCCTCTGCAGCCGCGCCAGCTCGCGCCGCAGCCGCCTCAGCTCCCGGCTCCGTGCTTGCAGTCTCGCCTGCAGGCGGCGGCAGGCGTCCTCCCTGGCTCGCACCTCCCTGCTCTTGGCCCCCACCAGGCGCCTCTGGGCCAGCAGGTGGCAGCGTCGGGGCTGGCGTGGCGCGCACGGGGGCCGCCTGCCCTGCAGCATCTCCTCCTAGAAGACGCGGCAGCTGAAGCCCTCCCTGCTCGACGCCGCGCTCGGCGTGCGCCACCACGGCCGCCCGGGACGGGCCAGGCAGCCGAAGCCGCGCTCGCTGGTCACCAGCCACTCACGGGGTGCCCAGGCGGGGCGGCACCTCCTGCTCCTGGACGGCGGGCGCAGGGCTGCGCGCCTCCGGCTGCAGGGCACAGGCCTGCGTGTCGCTGAGCAGGGACTTAGTGTCAGCCAGGCTGCGGGGAGAGGCGATGGTGCTCTCCTGGCAGAGCTGGGCTTCGAAGACACGGGGCCTCTTGTCCATGGGTGCAAACGTGCATTTGGTTTGCCACGCAACGGCCACCCCCTTCACTGTGCGCCCTTGGGTGTAATAGGCACACCGCACCCATTGCTTCTCTTTTGGCCTGCCGTAGCTGGAGGGGTCGGAGGTCCCCCACCATGAAGCGGAGGAGGGAGACTTCTCTGATAGTCGGAGAGTCTTCCTGGGCCTGGAGCTCGGGCTGCTGTTTTCCGATAGTGTAGGCTGTGTGGCCCTGTCCTCTTGGGCTGAGGCCCCTGAGAACGGAGTGTGAATTATATGAGGTATGAATCCTGGGTCCTGGTCTCCGAGCCTAGGCTCTGGTGTCAGGGATCCCTGGGGGCCTCTCAATCCCTACCTTCTTCCACCGCTGGGAAAGCTCATCACATCTTCATCTTGCCCGAGGTGGGATGGGGACCCTTCCTGTGCCTTCAAGTGTTGGTTGCACTGCTGGGGGTCACACAGTCTCCTGAGCACAGTGGTACTAATGACAGTGCTACCCTATGTCAAAGGTCACTAGTGGGAGACAATACAATACCCTTTGGGATCCTCTGTTTGTGAGTGTAGGATCTTCAGGTTAATTTGTTTTTCTTAACATTTATTTGTTGAATGCCAATTGATTTCCATGTGCCATGTCCTTTGGCACATGGAAATGACTTAATTTCCCTCAACCTTCATAATAGCGTGTTACTTCTCTGAGAGATGTTTTCTATAAAGTGATTTTCTAGTACATCCAGAGGGTGAGCCCGCCAACAGGAGAAAGTTTCGCCTCTTTTCAACCTCTTTTTAGGGGTCACTGATAGAAGGAATTACACTGACCGACATAGTAATTTGTGTACTTTGTTAAGGCTCTTGCAAGTTTACTTCTTTCTTGCACCCGTCTTAACCAAGCAACACCAGAACTTGAAAAAGTCTTTCTCTGAACAGACTCTGTAGCATGTCCTTGTGAGATGAGCTCCTTCAGTGTGAAAGCAGAAAGCAGATGGCCGTGTCTGAACGCCCTGATCCCTAACCTCCATGGTCAATACACGAGAACCTCACTGAGTGCATCTGCGGGGTTGCAGTGTCAGCCTCAGCGTCTGTGCATGTTTCTGAGAATGAGGGTACTTTTGGAGTTCAGGATGAAGGAGGAAAGAGATGGAAGCAAGTTTTGGGTGTGTGGGGGGGAGAGAGTGAAGGTTCAGGTAGGACACAGATGAAGAAGGCCTCAGGGGACAGTAGACAGAAGCTGCAGACAAAAGACAAGGAGAGAACAGGAAGCAAGTTGGGCCTGTGGAGGGCAGCACATGGGAACTGTAAGGAAGCTGGGGAGGGGGAGGGGGAAAAGGAACTGACTGGGGAAAGGGTTCTGAACTAGGATTTATAGCAGAAACACAGGTTAGGGAGAGATTTGAAATGCGATTCTGAAGTGAAGCTTGGCTCTGCCATATGCTAGAGCCCTAGGGAGAGGTGGACGGGAGACAGAGGAGGAGAAGGGAAGGCCCTGGGCTGAGGGTAGTCCTGTCTGCCCAGACCCACTTCTGCCCCTCCCCAGGCTGGCACCTGGGAGCTCCTAATGAAGGAGGCTTCTGGGTCATCACGGGGTACTGGGCCAACCATCCACCACCCTTCCATAACTTCTTGATTAATGTTCTTACTGCCTCACATGATGTACTAATTCACTCTCAGTGGAAAAGGTGATAACAATGAAGGACAAGCCCCTCACCCCTTCTCCCCAGTCCTACACCCTCCTCCCCAGGTGCTCACTTGCTTCTTTCCTTCCCATGGACATAAAGCCCTTCCTAGGGCTCAGGCCTGAACATTCGAGCTTTTAGTCTGAGCCAGTAAGGAAAGACCCTCAGACCCACAGTAGGGGATTCTTAGGTTCACTCACTCATTCCTTCCTTTACTCATTCACGTTACACACTGTGTTCATTGTCTACTAAATGACAGTACCTTCTCCGGGAAAGCCTCAAGGAGCCTCAGGCCAAATCCTTCATCTTCACTCTCCTGGCCATCTGTCCAGGGAAATCAGACCCCTTGCTGCCCAACTTCCCTCCATCAAACCATTTTTCTCTTCTCCTTACTTGGAGTCTTAGAGAAAGGCCTCTTCCTCCCAGATCACCCTTGATTCATCCTGTTGGGGCAAAGGTGAACTAAAAGGATGGTCGCCGGAAGGATTTCTCTCCCTCCTTCAAATCTCAACCTCTCTTGGATTGGGGACTCTGATTTAGTCCTGAATTTCTGTGCCTGGGCAACTACAGGCGCTGTCCCACAGGGAGATCTCGGATCTAGAACCTCTCTGAGAGCAGTTGGGATCTGAGTGAGCTCCAAGTCTTCCAGGAAGTCCTGTGTGATGTCATTGCTGACATAGCTCAGTTCCGATGGCCCAGTTTGAATCTAAACATGGCAACAGGAAATCATGGCAACTGTCAATGCGGGGGTGAGGAGGGCAGGGGAGGGAAGATGCTATAATAATTATATAATAAAGCAACTTGGAACTTTTCCCACTCTCAGGGAGATTCCCATCCATTTGGAGAGGGAATGGAGTGCAAGAAATGAGAACAGACTGGGATGGGCTGTATCTTTCCCCCAGACCTCTCTTGTGCCTCTGTTTGAAACTCATTTCTTCAGCCCTGGTCACTCAGTGTGCACTCTGAACCGCTCTCAGGCCTCCTTTGCCTCTGAGCCTTCTCACAGGCTGCTCCCCTGACTAGGAGACTGTCACTGCCCTCCCTCCTGGGTTCACCCTGCCAATGTGAGGTACAGTGTTGCACAGAGCTGACTCCAGCTGAAACTGAATATGAAGGAGTTAAAATGTCCCTGGATTATGGTGAAACTGTGCCAAGGTTAATGTGGGAAATGAAATAACCAAAGTTCTGAGCTTACCATTCAGAACTGCAGGAGCACTGCTGACAAGAGAGGAACTTGCTGACAGCCCCCTGCTCAAGCATCTTGCAAGAGCATTGAGAAGGTAAAGTGACTGATTGTAAACTTTAGACGTCAAAGACTAAAAATCCACTGCATGCAACACATAGAACAGACAGTCACACCTGTGTGGAGGATTCTTAGAACTTTAGTCCCCAAGGCCACATGCTCCCCCTCTCCCACCTAAAACCCCAAATAAAGACCCTTGCTTGTAGCTTTTCTGGGAGTTCAGAATTACAGTGCTAGTTGCCTGTTCTCCTTGCTCAGCACTTTGCAATAAAATTCCTACTTTCTTCCACTACATCCGGTATCAGAGATTGGCTTGCTGTGTGATGGGTGAGCAAACTCACTTCAGGTTCGATATGGCAGCCATGCTCCTGGGTTTGATCCCTGCTCCACCACTTACTGGCCCTGTGATCTTGGATCAATCATTGGACCTCTCTCTGCCTCACTTCCTGATCTGTAAAATGGAGAGGACTCTATCCGCCTGATAGCATCATTTGGAGGCTGAAGAGGTCAATCCACGTAAAGCATTTAGAACAGTGACTGCTATAGAAGAAGACCACACTAATGGTCACAGTTACTGTTGTACTGCAGGTCACAGCTTGCTGAGGGTGTGCAGACTAGCTGATGTCCTTCTGTGTGCATGCAGAGCTCCTGATAGTTCCCGTCATTACACTCTTCTAGGTTTATGGGAGGGGCTTTTTTGCAAATCTGTCTCCTTGAAATGGACTGTAAGTAACATGGAGGCAAACACTAGCTTGGTCTCAGGTCTCTAGTCCCAGCAAGTAGGAGAGCACCTGACACATAGTAGGTACTCAATACACATTTGTTGAATGAATGAATGATTGAATGATGACTCCCACAAAGACCCGTCCATCCTAGTCATCCTCTGCAGAACAGGACATTTGTACTGGCACCTGGAGGCACCATTGCTCAGAGGTGAACATTTTGCCACTGTTCTTGCCCTTCCCAGTCCCAAGCCCCAGAAAGTGTTCCTGGGAAGCTCCTTAGCCCTCTGCGTGTTTCCCTTTGGGTCCAGTGAGAAAGGGATAGGATTGTGGCCTCCCATAAAGCATGGCCTCAGGACCGCCACCTGTCTGGGAGGTTTAGGAGGGCTCTCGGGAAAAGCCCACTCTCCTCTCTTGGGTTGGATTTTGCTTTTGTTCTGGAGGCATTTAGAACAGGAACCAGTAAATTATGGAACCCTTTGAGGAAGAGTTTGAGGAAACTGATGTGGCGAGCAGAGAGTGGTCTGACTGCTCAGACGAAATTGAAAACTCTCTGATGGTGAGAGAGGAGGCCTGTTTTGTGTGATTCCAGAAGGCAGGACAGGGACGAGTCATTGGAAACACAATTAAAAAAAAAAAAAAAGATGTGTGCTTGTTCATAAATGTGACAAAAGTGCCCCAATAACCTCACCCTATCTCCTCAGACTTTTCTCGCTCCATGCCACCCTCGCCTGTGCTGTGCCCTCAGGAGAGCACGTGGGATTTCCTGAATGCGCTGGGCCGTTTCCCACCTCCTCACCCCACTCAATTCAGCGCAAGTATCACCTCCTGGTTGAATTCTTCCCTGACTGACCCCTGGTAGAATATCCCACCCCCTGCTGTGTACCCTGTTGTGTTCAAGGAACGCTGTGCTATAGCTTAGAACACACATGATTGCATTTTCTTGTTGGCATTGATTATGCATGTGGCCACACATTCCTCCTCTCTCTCTACCCACATCCCTCTGTGATGACTTTGCACTACCTTTCTCCAAGAGCAGGATTCTTTCTCTGTTCCTTGAGTGGAGGCTGGTCTTATGATTGCTTTGATTATGGGGACAGTATAAAGCCTGATACAAGCAGAGACGTGAAATGGTCTTACACATCGGGCTAGCCATCTTGACCCTTTTGAAACCCTGAGAACCCATGAGATTGAGCCTGAGCCAGCCTTCTGGATGGTGAGCCACATTGTAGAGACGGATCCCGCTGTGGCTGCTGAGTTGATTTTTGAGCAGCTGGCCCCCTGCTGACCTGGCAGCTGATGGCAGACACATGAGCAAGCCCAGCTGAGAGCAGCTGAGCCCAGCCTAGACCAGGAGATCCCCAAATGGCCAACCTGCAAAACTGTGACCTCAGTAAATGGTTGCTGTTGTAAGCCACTACATTTTGTTGTCATTTGTTACACAGCAGTAGATAACTGATATGCTTGTCAACTTTGCCATTTCTCTTGCCAGAGAGTGAGGAACCTTTTCTTAGTCATTTCTGAATCAAGAACATAGGTCTTAGGGTCTGATATGTAGCCATTATAGATAAATCTACAGATGAATGAATGATATGTATATGTAAGTGTGATTTTGTGCATAAACAAATGTTCATTACACCATCTTACATATGATATTTTTAAATAAATTAAATTCTACCTTAGACACTCTGCTTCCAAAATTGATGAAAAATTAACTTTAATGTTTCTTAGGGTACCGCCTGCAGAGTTGTGCAGTGATGTCCAGGGTCTGATGAAGGAGCAAGGCATTGGACACAAGCCTCAGCTCAGCCACGGTCCCATCCTGTGTGGCTTCGCCTCTAGAAGCATTGGCTGTGTGGCTTCCATTCCTGCTGGAGCACAGCCCCCCTTGCAGGGGTGGGGGCCCATGTCAGAGTTTGCCCCCAGGTGCCTCCATTTCTCTCCCAGGAGCTGCCTTCTACTTCAGGGCACTGGCAAGAAGCAGGCCCGCCCTCTGCAATGTCTAGAACTCTCCTCTCCCACTGCCCTGCCTCCCCCTCAGCCTCCAGTTTACTGGGTGTCATCACTTCCGTGAGCTGAGGTTTTAGACCGTTGGAGCCATGTGCTCTGGGCAGCATCTGCCTTGCAGAGTCCACTACCTCCTTGAAATGAGGTATGGAAAGAAGAAAAATAGAGGAAGATTTTACACGCAATTTAATGTTTCAGTGAATTATCTTTCCATGCGTGTTCAGTGGGCCTGCAGAAAAATCCCTTCAGGCCTTTTTCAAGCTGCAGGATGATGGAAATAAAATTTCTAATTGTGTCTGCGGGTGGGAGCGGTGGCGGCTCCAGTGAGGCTCCTGGATTAGCCCCCATCCATCTCTCCTGGCATCTTCACCAGCACACATCCTCAATCCCTGGAAGTCACTAGAAGTGTTAGTTAGTCCTTCATATTGCTCCAAAGAGCATCTTTCAGATCCGGCAAGCAGTAAGTGCCTTATGTCCACTGTCAGTTGCATAATTAGGTGTTAAAAAAAGATATCTGATAGGGCCGTGGGTAAGACCAATACAATGAAACTGAAATCTCTCCCTCACTTTTTTGAGTTCACAGAGTCCCTTTGAGATAGTTTACTTTGCACAGGTTCACAGTGAAGAGAAGACACCTTAAAAATAATAATAACCCCCTCGCTGCTGTGATGTGATAAATGAGTTGTGTTGCTTGGGCATCATCTGCCTCTTGCACATAAATGGAAGGTTGGTGAGGACAGGAGCTTCCTCTTCTGTGGTCAGTGTATCTCTGGTGCGCTGGCAGTGCCTGGCACCTAGGTGGGAAACGTCCAAAAATGTGTGTTGAATGAATGAATGAGCGTTGGTGGGTTTGTTAAATTTGCATTGCTCTCTGTATTTACATCAGTGAAAATCGAGATTATTATTCATACAATTAAGGATTAAATAAGATGAGAAGAGAGCTTGTATAATGAAGTGGTAGAAAAAAGTAAGATTTTCTGTCTGCACTAGCTCAATGTACTCCTTGTCACTTTGCTTTGGAGGGAGACACTCTGCACCTTGCACACACTTTGTGAGATGCGAAAGCCCTGAGGTCCGTTGGCCGGGCTCTGTGTAGAAATGCACAGTCATTCGATCAAAAAGAAATTCTGCTCCTGTTCAAGCATTACCGTTCAGAAATTTTTCAAGTGAGTAAACAAAGAACGTCTGAAAGTAGTATAATCTCTATATTTTCTTACTTCCAATTTTGGAAAAGAGGAGAGACTGGGAGGCAGATTTAGTGTTTCAAGTTTAGCAGATCTGTAACAGCTAAAGAGAGGGCAAATATTTTTACTTTCTACTGTCGTTGAGTGAATGTTCATGACATAGGCCACCGTGTTGCACAACTCCGAGGACTGCCATTTACATCGCAGTTCATGCAAATAAGGCTTCCTCGGGTTGTCCAGTGCACAGCCTTCACAGCTGTACATAGTGCCCTACTGACAATGTATCAGACAAAGTCTGTCTGTGTATTTAATTTTATTCTCCACACCACTCTTCGGAGTAAGGGTGGTTTTCTCTTTGGATTTAGAGAACAGTGGACTATGACTTAGAGAGGTTACATGACTTGTTTGAGGCCACAAAGTAATCATTGCAATCTTCCAAACTTTCCTGCCTTCATCAGTGTCACTATGCCACCAAATTATCCAGAAGGGACTCTAGGAATTAGCTAGCACTGCCACTTTATATTTGGCACATGTTTTGCCTCAGGCCGCATTAGTTAGTTCTCATGATTTCTCACTCATGCTCCTGTCCTGACAACATGCCACGAGGCTAAGAAACCTACTGAAGATTCAGGCTTGAGTGAAACAAGTCCAGATTCCACTAGAGCACTGATTCCACTCACACGACCCCAACACCTGAATTCAAACGTCATCACATGGTCCCTCCAGGAGGTTTGGCTTGTTCCTCCAAGATGCTGCTTCTCTGGGAGCCTCTACCTTGAGCCTAAGGAAGCCCTCCAGGGCTCTGCTCAGCCCTCCAAGGCAGAGCAGAGCTGAAGGACCCAACATCAGTGACAAGGGAGGCTAGCTGTACCAGTCTGTCCAGGGGCCCGACTCTGTGTGTGGCCCAGCATGCGGCTCTGTGCTGGCTGGCAGAGAATTCAGCAAGCAGCACCTCTCTTCTGGATCACACGATGACAGAAGTCTGCAGGGGCCTGGGCAGCAGGTCATGCTCCAAACAGAGCTCTCCTTCCACCTCCTTAGAGCCAGAATAAGGTCTGGTCCCACTCAACAGTGTTCAACACATGTGAGTTGAATGGCTATTTATTGCTGCAACAGCTTTCTTTTTCTTTCCTTTTTTTTTTTTTTTTTTTGCTGAGAAACATTCGCCCTGAGCTAACGTCCATGCCAGTCCTCCTCTATTTTTTAGTGTGTGGGTCGCCAGCACAGCACAGCCACTAACAAAGTGGTGCAGGTCCACGCCTGGGAATCGAACCTGGGCCTCTGAAGTGGAGCATGCTGAACATAACCACTAGGCCACCAGGACTGGCCCCAGATTTCTTTTTCTCAATAGTTTCCAGGTAGAAAATTTTGCATTTCTTTACTTTAAAACATTCAGTCGTTGTGTTTTAATGGCGTTTCTTAAAAACAGAATATGGTTGGTTTGAGAGTCTAATCTGAAAGTCTGTTGTTTTACTGAGGTTTTTAATCTTTTTACCTTGTTTTCTTATTACTGATACATTTAGGCTTAATTCTAACATTACATTTTTTGTTTTCTGTTTATATTTTTTCATCTTTCTACTTTTCCAGTTTCTTGTTGGAGTGATTAAATTTTCCTTATTCCTTTTTTTTCCTTCTAGTGGTTTGAAAGGTAGTAGTTTAGCGGTTTAGTAGTTAGGAGTAGTTTACTAGTTACTCTTAGAATTTTTTAACATGTGTATTTGATTTAATACTTTATAAAGTGCATATCTATATTCTCCCCAGAAACAGGATAAAGACTGTATTTTGGAGACCGTTATATTTAAAGCTCCTCTAATTAACTAGTAGTAGTTGTAGTGCTTTATTTTTAATCGTCAAATCTCATTTAGATTTACCAAAATGTTTAGCCATTTCTTTGCTCACTGTTGTCACTTGTCACCCATACCTTTCTTCTGGGTTTGATTTTCTTATTACAGGAACATATTCTACTAATAGTGCTTTGAGTGATAATCTTCTGCTAATAAACACTCATTGTCTGACAGTGTTTTTATTTCATTTTCACTACTAAATTGCAGTTTAGGTGTCTTCCACAGCTTCTGTTAACAGTTAAGTCTAGTTTTTACTTATTTCAAGAACATTTATCTTTTTAATCTGGTTGCTTTAAAATTTTTCTTTTTGACTTTGGTTTTCTTCAAACGGTACATTAGGTGTTTTATTTTGATGCTGTTGTTTTGGTTTGGTTTTTGTTTTTAATTTTTGGGCTTGGGGTTGAAAGAGATTTGAATCTGTATCTTGATGTCTTTCATCCACTTTTGAAATTTCTCAGCCATTTTCTCTTCAAATATGTCTTCTGCTCCATTCTCTCTTCTTTCCTTCTGAAAGCTCAAGTACACATATGTTAGTATTACATCCTCTATGATTTTTATCTGCTCTTTTGTGTTCACCATCCTTTTGTTTCTCCATGCTTTATTTTTGATGTTTTCTTCAGACCTTCTGTCACTAATTCTCTCTTCAGTTGTGTTTAATCTACTGTTAAGCCCACCAATTGAGGATTTATTATTTTGATTATATCTTACATGTTAGAATTCACAATTTTTTTCTAGTTTGCAGTTTCAAGTTCTCTGCAAAAATTCTCCCTCTTGTCTTTTTTCTCCTTATATATAACATGCACAGGTATTTTAAAGTCATGTCTGATCATACTCATAACTGAACCTCTTTGAGTCTGTTTCCACTGTCTATTGTTTCTGCTGTGTTTTCTCCGTGTTGCTGTGTCTCCTCACAGCCTGGTTATTATTTATTGACACCAAAGTGGTTTTTTTCAAAAATGTTTATAGAAATAATTTTAAAAGGTACTTCTCTCCCCGGAGAAAATTTAAGTTTGTTTGTGCCAGCCCCCTAGGATCCATACCAATCCAGGATCCCTTCAAACCAGGTTCAAGAGCTGAAGTGATTGGAACTTAGCTCTGTCCCCATGACAGCCTGTCTGCTTCCAGCTGTCACTCACGCCTCTCTCACAGTCCCTGAAGGCCCCTCCCCCCAGCATAGGGTGCTTACCAGGGTTCTATCTCCCTGTGTGGTGGTCCAGTAATTCTTCTCTATCTTCTTAGCAATAGGAAACCTCAAGTAGATGTTTGGTTTTGATTTTAGTATTTTGTTAAGCTTTCATAGTTTCCTCAGCAAGAATATTGATCAAAATTTCCTGGCTCACCATTAGCTGAGGTTCAGCTATGTATTTTCCAAAATTGTTTTGTTATATTTTATCCACCTTTTCTATGTAGCTCAGCCTGACATGTGGCCAAACCCTATTTTCCAAATTCTCTGTAATGAATATATATTAATTTTAAAGTCAGTAAAAAGTTATTTACTTTACAAATAGTCCCTTTCATAATATTTAGGATGAATGCTGAAGGACTATTTTTTTTTCCATAGGAATGGAAGAGATGGTAGCTTATCTGCATTGTGTGTAAATAATATGTACTAACTGCTATGTGCCCAGCCCATGGTGGCTTACATGCATTGAAGTATTTAGCTTCCCAACAACCCCATAAGATAGAGACTGTTTTTAACTGCATTTTACAGCTGAGGAAAATGAGGAGACACAAGTATTAGTGACAGAACTGAGGTTCAGATGAGACAATCTGATTTCTGAGCCCACACTCTTGGTCCAACCTCCCCCACCTCCCACTCCCACTAAATGTATAGGACTGGTTTAAAAGAAAACTCTTCAAATTAAAATAGGATCCTTTTGAGCCTCACTGAATCAAAAATAAATGGGGACTGTGTAGAGCTGGCCCGGTGGCATAGTTGTTGAGTTTGCCTGCTCCACTTCAGTAGTCTGGAGTTCACGGGTTCGGATCCCGGGCACGGACCTATGCACCGCTCATCAAGCCATGCTGTGGTGGCATCCCACATACAACAAATAGAGGAGGATTGGCACAGGTGTTAGCTGAGGGACAATCTTCCTCAAGCAAAAAGAGGCAGATTGGTAATAGATGTTAGCTCAGGACCAAACTTCCTCACACACAAAAAAGAAAAAATTGATAAATTGGACTTCATCACAATAAAAAAAAATAACAAAATAAAAAATGGGGACTGTGTATATTTGACAACCTTAGTTGGTAAGATGTTCCATATGCATCAAGAAGTCTACATTTATGAAATTCATTCCACAAGTGTTGGCAAAGATGTGGAGGAACTGAAACTCTCCTGTGCTGCTGGTGGGAATGCAAAATAGTATGGCCACTTTGGAAAATGGTTTGACTGTTTAGAAAAAAGTTAAAACTGTACCTACAATAAAAATCACCTATCGTACTGCTAACTATATACCCAAAAGAAATAAAAGCATAAATCCACAAAACACTTGTATATGAGCGTTTATGGCAGCTCTATTTATTTATAGCCAAACACTGGAAAAGACCCAAATGCTCATCAACAGGTGAATGGATAAACAAATTTTGACAAATTC